CCCGATATTTCACATACCCACCCGACATCATACATAGTTATTATAATATTATATTCCCTAGGCTGTACATTACATCTCTGTGACTATTTTGTAACTACCTATTTGTATTTAATTCCTTCACCTTTTTAACCCAACTCCTCAGGCCCCCTCCCTCTGGCAACCATCAGTTTGTTTTCTGCATCTATGAGTCTGTTTCAATTTTGTTTGTTAGTTTATTTTGTTCTTTAGATTCCACATATAAGTGGAATCATATGGTATTTTTCTTTCTCTGTCTGACTTGTTTCACTTAGCATAATACCCTTTAGGTTCATCCACGCTGTTGCAAGTGGTAAGATTTTATTCTTTTTATGGCTGAGTAGTATTCCATTGTACCTGTGTACCATGATTTTTATTTACTTGTCTACTGATGGGAACTTGTGCTGCTTCCATACCTTGGCTGTCGTAAATAATGCTGCACTGAACATAGGGGTGCATATATTCTTTTGAATTAGTGTTTTGGGTTTCTTAGGATATAAACCCAGAAGTGAAATCACTGAGTCATATGGCAGTTCTATTTTTAATTTTTTGAGAAACCTCCACACTGTTTTCCACAGTGGCTGCACAGTCTGCATTCCCACCGCAGTGTACTAGGGCTCCCCTTTCTCCACACCCTCGCCAGCACTTTTTGTTTGTCAATTTGTCGATGGTGCCATTCTGGCAGGTGTGAGGTGATACCTCATTGTGGTTTTAATTTGCATCTCTCTGATGATTAGTGTGGTTGAGCATCTTTTCATATGTCTATTGGTCACCTGTATGTCCTCTTTGGAGAAGGGTCTATTCTGGTCTTCTGCTCATTTTTTAATTGGATTATTTGGGGTTTTGTATGTTTTTTGTGTGTTTTTTGTTTTTGTTTTTGTGGGGTTTTTTGGTGTTAAGTTATATGAGTTCTTTATAAATTTTGAATATTAACTCCTGATCATATCTAACACTGGCAAATATCTTCTCCCATTCAGTGGGTTGTCTTTTCATTTTGTTGATGGTGTCCTTTGCTGCGCAAAACCTTTTTAGTCTGATGTAGTCCCATTTGTTTATTTTTCTTTTGTTTTCCTTGTCTGAAGAGATATATCAGAAAAAATATCACGAAAAGAAATGTCAGAGAATTTACTGCCTATGATTTCTTCTAGGAGTTTTATAGTTTTGCTTCTTACATTTGAGTCTTTAATCATTTTGAGTTTATCCTTGTATATGGTGTAAGAAGGTGGTCTAGTTCCATTTTTTGCATGTATCTGCAATTTCTCCAACACCATTTATTGAATAGATTGTCTTTACCCCATTGTATGTTCCTTCCTCCTTCATCATATATTAATTGATGGTATAGGCCTAGGTTTATTTCTGAGCTCTTTGTTCTGTTTCATTGATCTATGTGTCTGTTTTCATGCTGGTACCAGGCTGTTTTGATTACTATAGCCTTGTAGTGTAGTTTAATATCAGGCAGCAAAATAGCTCCAACTTTGTTCTTTTTCCTCAATATTGCTGTGACTATTTGGGGCCTATTGTGGTTTCATATAAACTTTAAGATTATTTGTTCTAGTCCAGTGAAAAACACCATTTGTATTTTGATAAGAAATGCATTGAATCTACAGATCGCTTTGTGTAGTGTGGACATTTTAACAATGTTAATTCTTCCTGTCCATGAGCACGTACATGCCTCCATATAGTTGTACTTTCTTCAGTTTCTTTCTTCACTGTCTCGTAATTTTCCAAGTATGGGTCTTTTACCTCCTTGATTAAATGTATCCCTAGTTATTTTTTTAAAGCAATTGTAAATGGGATTGTTTTCTTAGTTTCTCTTTCTGATAGTTCATTATTGGTGTATAAAAATGCATCTGATTTCTGAGTATTTATTTTGTATCCTGCTATTCTACTGAATTCATTTATCAGTTCTGGTAGTTTTGTTGGTGGAATCGTTAAGGTTCTCTCTATATAGTATCATGTCACCTGCAGATAATGACAGTTTTGCCTCCTCCTTTCCAATTTGGATGCCTTTTATTTCTTCTCCTTGTCTCATTGCTGTGGCTAGAACTTCCAGTACTATGTTAAATAAGAGTGGTGAAAGTGGGCACCCCTGACCCTGATCTTAAGGAAAATGCAGAAAGCCTGGTTCTAAAAACGTTGTCTTTCATGCCCTGTTATTTCAGCTGTGAGTTTTGAGTATCCATGCTTCTTGCATCAGCTCTTTTCTCTCCTTGTGGGCTGTATGCTTCAGGAGCAATTGTTGAGAGTGGCGGGCTGCCCAAAAATCAAGGAGGTGGGAGAATGAGAGAAACCTCAGTTCATGTCTCAAGGCGATATCCTGCTACAAATGTTGATCTCCTTTCATAGCCAAAGGGACTGTGTACCACTGAGCCCCTGCTGACACCTTGAACCCTCTCTCCAACCTACCTCCCTCCCTCACTGCGCTCAGTCTCCCTGGCCTCCATTCTGACCTCCTGTTATACTCAACCTTTCCTGTCCTCAGGGCCTTCTCACATACTGTTCCCTCTGTTGCACTGCTGTGCACTGTTGATGGGAATGCCAGTCGGTGCTGCCGCTATGGAAAACAGAATAGAGGTTCCTAAAAGAATTAAAAATAGAACTACCATATGATCCAGCAATCCCACTTCTGAGTATTTATTCAAAGGAATGGAAGTCACTCTCACAATGATATCTGCACCCCCATGTTCACTGCAGCACTATTCATAATAGCCAAGACATGGAAACAACCTAAGTGTCCATCAGTGATCAATGGATGGATGCATAAAGAAAATTTAGGGTATACACACACACACACACACACACACACACACACACAAATATATTTCAGCCATAAAAAGAAGGAAATCCTTCCAATCGTGACAACACAGATGGCCTTGATGGTATTACACTAAGTGAAATAAGTCAGACAGAGAAAGACATATATTGTATGATGTCACTTACATGTGTCATCTAAAAAAACCCGAATCATAGAAACAGAGCAGATTTGTGGTTGCCAGGGGCTGGAGCTTGAGCGGAATGAGACGTTGGTCAAAGGTTACAAACTGATTATGTCTAGTGCCCCACTCATTCACGTCGACTACACAACTTATACTAAATTTAGGTCTGTCTACTCCTCTTTGAGCAGGAACAGTAATGACTGGTTGTCACCATAAAACAGAAAAGCATGAAGCGAAGCATGTGGATAGTGGGAAAGAGGAGCCCTCTTTTTCCTCAGAGGGGTCTGTCTACCATCTAGAGTAATTGAAAGGATGCTTGTCTGCACAAAGAGCAAATGAAATAAAATCACACGTAAAAACTGGACATTTCAAAGCAAGAGAGCCTTGAGGACATGATTCAGGTCCCAAGGCAACCTCCCCCGATTCCTGCACGTCCTTGTACAGGAGTCATTGGATATCTGTTTGTTTAGGGATATATATTTTTGCCTAAAATTTGCATTTCTGTCCCTGACAATTGAAACAGTCTCCACCAAATCAGAAAAGAACTTAAGAGTCTGTCACCCCTTCCACATCTGGTGGAGGGAGGGATGACCATCGCTGTTGGAAGCCTCCCTCCCTCCCTGGGTGGGTCATTTCTTCTTTGGGTGCCTTTAATCATGAGAAAACCCTTCTTCCCCTGGAGCATCCAGGCCTCAACCAGTCACTCAGATGGGTGTGTAGTGTAACAACCTCAGGCACATGGATGCATTTAGCTCAAAGCTTAGGACACACGATTTGAAAACCACGGCATGTGTTTCATTTCCTTTAACACAATACTACAAATGAGCAGCC